TCTACTCAACAATACAGATGTCGCAAACCGTTCGCGAACTTCCCGAACAACATGGATGCTGTCCAGGAGGTGGGAGGGAGGGTCTGCTGGAGATTGGGATGTGTCAGCTGACCGGAGCTCACCGCAAACGGTTCGTGGCGAACCACGACGAGCCGTTCACGGGAAGTTCGCGAACGGTTCGCGACATCTCTACTCAACAATATGTTCAAAATGTTTAAAAAAGGTTATATGTAAAATAATAAGTGGAAATCAAACTGGATTCATTCCAGGAAGATCAGCAGAAGACAATCTTAGGAAAAATATCAACTTAATGTTAAAGGCTAAAAATTCAGGAGAATCCATGCTGACCCTGTCATTGGATGCAGAGGCCTTTGACAGTGTCGGCTGGGTTTATTTGGAAGAGACCTTGAGAAGATTCTGATTTAAAGATTTTTTTCTAAATGCAGTTTGGTTATGCTATAGAGAACCCATTGCATGTATAATGGGATCTGGGATTAGATCATCAGGATTTAGAATTTTCAATGGCACCCTTAAGGGATGTCCTCTAGCCTCCATGTTACACGCTTTATCATTAGAACCATTTGCTCAGAAAATTAGACAGAATAGAGATATTAAGGGCTGTCAAATTGGGAGCAGGAACTGTAAAATATCAAGGTTTGCCGATGATGTTTTACTTACATTGAGGGGCCCAGAGAGATCAATGGAGGCTTTGATGAATGAGATCAAAACATACTCTAATTGTCCTATTATAGTCTTAATTTAAACAAATCCTATGCATTAGCATGGAATTTAAGTACTGAAGAAAAAACTAATGTAAAAGAGAAATATAAATTGCAATGGTTAGATAATACACTTAACCATCTAGGGATTAAAGTCTCATATTCAAAAAAATCCATTATAGATTTAAATTATATCATATTATTGAAGGAACTTAAACATAAACTTAATGGGTGGAAAACAGTAATATGATCTTGGTTAAGTAAAATAAATGTAATTAAATATTATGTTCTACCAAAATTAGCCTTTTTATTTAGATCTATCCCTTTGAAACGTACTATGGGATTTTCAGAATTAGTTTAACAACTTTAAATGGAATCATAAGAAAGCAAGGATAGCACTAAACATGACATCTAGAGGAGAAAGAAATAGAGGTTTAGGTGTGCCTGATGTAAATAAATGTATGGTTCAAAACAGATAGTTGCTATCAATGGCTAGGCATAGAGAATGAAGCGTTAGTGACAAATGATGTATATCTGGGATAAAAAAAATAAATAAATAGAATTCAATATGATGAATCCAATAGTCAGGGATTTGAGCATAGCATGAAAAACCTACACTATAAGTATTTAAGTACATGAGACTTGAATATGTGTATACCATTGACAATTTTAGAAAATCTGATAGGTAATATCAAATTAAAAATTTGGAAGGAAAAAGGAATAGTCCATATTTATCAGCTGATTAAAAACTTCAACATGAAATCATTTGATATAATTCCAAATACCTATGACATTCCATCAAATGAATTTTATAACTATATAAGTTATTACATAGAGAAAGAATTATCCAAAAGAATCATTATAGAGAGGGTAGTAAATATAAAAAGATATCTTTCTGGGAAAACAAAAAAGAAAAACTAGTAGATTGAATATGAATAATGTGGATGAAAAGGTTAATTTTAGATCAGTTCCAACCATAAAAAGATGGATCAACAATTTGGACTTAAAGGTGAAAGAAGAAATTTGGATTAGGTCAATCAATTTTACGAAAACAGCTATTCATAATATAAAATTTATTAGAAACTTATTTTAAAATAACTTTTAGGTGGTACTTAACTTCAGAAAAATTAAGTAAATTTTCCCATAATGAAAATGGGTTGTGCTGGAGATGCATGGAAGAAATAGGCTCATTAGTCCACATATGGTGGAAATGTAGTAAGATTCAATCCGAATGGTCTAAAGTGTTTAATATAATTTCTACTCTACTAAATAAAAAATGTGATTTAGATCCAGCATGTGTCCTATTCAATATAGGTATAAATGCCCTCCCGATAGAAACTAAATACATTGTGGTCTATCACAGCATTTAAACTGTTAATGGCGAGAAAATTGAAACAAAAGGAAGAAGTGAATGTTAAAGATGTATATGACCAAATAAAACATCAATACTTTATGGAAAAAGGATATTACCAAAATAATAGTTTAAATCTAGGAAAATTAAAAAAAGGATGGTCGCAATGGGACAAAGAAAAAGAGTCAAATACTTGGTACATTATGCATTTAAAAGAGAAAATACAAATATATTAATGTTTATGTTAATGCTTAATTTCCCCTCAAAGTTATGGAATGCATGGAGGTATGAATGTATTTATGTTAGTGTCGTCATTGTCCTTCATATAATAATGAATGGAGAAGAGGAATTATTTTGTAGTAATATAGTTAAAAATAAAAATTAAAAGAGGAATCTCTTCATAGTAAGATATATAATTATATCATGTAAGTCTAATTGTATGATCTTCATCAAAAAAACAAAAACAAATAATGATTTTGGTACTCGATTTAACTTTGGATAGAAAAATATTTTAAAAGCATTGATTACCAATGTCTGATGAAATAGAAAAAAAAGGAATTCAATTGGGGGGGGGAGGTAAAATGGTGTGACACAAATCACGTAACCAGAACTGCTGAAAGGGGCAAAAAGGTGGCATGTCTGCAAGGTCAGCCTGGCATGAATGTATGTCAGTCTGCCTGCCAATCATTCAGGCTGGCCAACTAAGGGTATACTATGCAGACACCACCATGAGCTGGGCATACATGCGTCTAAAGATGCGCTCACTCTACACTTTCTCAGGGCTGTCCCCTAGCACTCACTTATCCACTTGTCTCCTTGCCTTCTTACTGGCAGGCAGAAGCTCCTGGTATATAGTCTGGGACAGAGAAAAGGTGTATGTAGTGAGTGTAGAAGAAAGGGGACATGCCATAGTGTTAGAGAGACCAAATTCAGCATTACCTTAAGTAACGTTATTGTCAGTCAGTCCACACAAGTTTTGTTCCCGTATATCCCTCTTAAATTTCCACACTTAAGCAAGAGTTGTAATGATACCACCTTTCTTGGACAAAAAATTCCCGGCCTTACTAATTTGCATAATTAATTATATATGCGTGAAATCACATACTGTAAATCACAAGGAGTGACATAAGAGAAAATTCAGTAAAATCACCAATAAGCTACTTACAGTTTGATTCTGCTGTATAGATGGATAGCTCTGTGTCTCCCTGTCTCCCAGGGTGTCCATGTCGCCCAGTGTCCCTATGTAGCCCAGTGTCCCCTAGTCTTCCAGTGTCTCAGATTCCCCATTATTCCCAGTGTCCCTGGTGTCTCACTGTCCCTATTCTAAGAGTAGTGTAGTAGTGTGATTTTTTATTTTTTTTAAATCAAGTGGTGATGTGCAAATATCTCTGTAGATTTGCGATTAATAAAATAAGTGTAAGAATACTGATAGAGATAGATATAGAGATATATATATATATATATATATATATAGAGATATATATATATATATATATAGAGATAGATATAGATATAGATATAGATATAGATATAGATATAGATATAGATATAGATATATATACACACACACACACACACACACACATACACATACACTTCCTGTTAAACCACTTTGACTTGTTTTTGTTCTGAGGTCATAAATATACAATATACTATTTTACATATGGTAAACTTTTATGCCGTATAGTTTCTTAATTATGATTTGTGCTTTCATAATAACAAACGAAACATTAAAATGAGACATCGCAATTGGGGGGAGTGGGATGGGGGAGAGGTTGATGGTGGTAGGGAGACTATCCCAAAGAAAATGAGTTTCCCTCAAGAAGTCCAGCAAGCATGAGTTGGCTGTATGGGTGCGAATAGTGGACAGGAGGTGGTCATGGGCAGAGTGGAGAGGCCGAAAAGGGGCATACCTACAGATCAGTAAAGAGATATGAGGGGCTAGAATTGTTAATTGCTTTATAGGTATGGATTAATACATTGAATTGACTTCTATATGATACAGGAAGTCAATGTGATGATCTCCAGAGGGGTGAGGTGTAAGAGGAGCGACTGGAGATCAAAATCATCTGGCAGCAGCATTTATTATAGACTGTTATGAGGCAGTACGGCTTCTGGGAAGACCAGTTAGAAGAGAATTACAATAATCAATGCGATCACTATAGCATTAACAAGCTCCTTAGGAGTGTCTTGGGTAAGAAAGCAGCAGACTCGGACAAATGTTTTAAGGTCACTACTCCATACTAATTCTTCTTGACCTCTCAGCGGCCTTTGACACCGTTGATCATGCTCTCCTTCTTCAAACTCTGCAATCGCTTGGTCTCTGTGACTCTGTCCTCTCATGGTTTTCCTCTTATCTCTCCCAACGCTCATTCAGTGTCTCTTTTTCTAATGATACCTCCTCCCCTCACCCTGTCTCGGTTGGAGTCCCCCAAGGCTCCGTCCTTGGTCCCCTTCTATTTTCTCTTTATACTGCCTCTCTTGGCAAACTTATTACCTCATTTGGACTCCACTACCACCTGTACGCTGATGACACCCAGCTATATCTCTCCTCCCCAGACCTCTGCTGTCCTGCAAAGTGTCACTGCTTGCCTTTCTTCCACCTCTGACTGGATGTCCTCCCGCTCTTTGTCTTTCCTCCTCCTAATACTGATCCTCCTCTTTCGCTCTCCCTTCAAGTCTGTGGTACCAACATCAGCCCATCCTTGCAAGCGCGCTGTCTTGGCATCATACTTGACTCTGGTCTCACCTTTGAGCCTCACATCCAGCATGTTGCCAAATCCTGTAGATTCCATCTTAAAAACATAGCCCGCATCCGCCCCTTTCTTGCACCAGATACTACCAAGGAGCTTGTCCATGCTGTAGTAATTTCCCGCATGGATTATTGTAACCCTCTCCTGCTTGGTCTTCCCAAAAGCCGTACTGCACCCCTACAGTCTGTAATGAACGCTGCTGCTAGACTGATTTTCCTCTCTAGTCAGTTCTCTCACACCTCACCCCTCTGCCAATCCTTACATTGGCTTCCTGTGTGCTATAGGAGTCAATTCAAGGCACTAACTCACACCTATAAAGCACTGAACAACTCTAGCCCCTCTTATATCTCCTCACAGATCCATAGGTATGTCCCTTCTCGGTCTCTCCGCTCTGCCCGTGACCACCTCCTGTCCGTTGTCCGCACCTGTACAGCCAACTCGCGCTTGCAGGACTTCTCGCGGGCGGCTCCCTTCCTATGGAATAGCCTGCCTCCAGCCATCAGACTCTCCCCTAGTCTTGCATCTTTTAAGAAGTGCCTTAAAACCCATCTCTTTATGAAAGCTTATGGCCTCCAAGACTAACCCCTACCTCACATACCTGTCTCTTGCCCTCTCCTAAAGGGCAGCCCACCTTATTTGATTGCAAATTCCTGTCCTAATGTATTTTACACCCCACCTCCTATAGAATGTAAGCTCGATTGAGCAGGGTCCTCTTCAACCTATTGTTCCTGTAAGTTTATTTGTAATTGTCCTATTTATAGTTAAATCCCCTCTCATAATATTGTAAAGCGCTACGGAATCTGTTGGCGCTATACAAATGGTAATAATAATAATAATAATAATAATAATAATAATAATAATAATAAGGTGGAATCAACAGGATTAGACTGGACATGAGGCCCAAATGTGAGGCCAGAAGCTGATTGAATTTACATGAGTATTTAGAAGGGCGAGACACTCTCTCGCTTGAATAGGAACAAAGCTGACATCAAACACCACAAAACTTTATGAAAATAATTTTGTCCCACTGCTAACCTCTGTCCATACATAGTTACATAAATGGAATTATCCCCTTATTTCATAAACAGGCTGTGTGAATGTAAGTAAAATTAACACCATGCCTAGACTATTTTATTACTTCACTGCCCTCCCAATTCATATTTCTAATTCCTTTTTCTAATCTCTTAACCCCTTAAGGACACAATTTCTGTAATAAAATGGAATCATGATGGAATATTTCCGTCATGTGTCCTTAAGGGGGTTAAAGCCCTCCCAGCAGAGTTTATCTGGATTGGCAGGAAACCAAGATTAAATTGCAGACCCTTTTTCTCCCGAAAGCCCCCAGACCAATGCCTCTATTACACAGCCAGTTGAGTAGTACCTTGGAGATGTAGCCCAGAATAAAGGCCTCCTTTTCATCAGCCCCCTTGCACATCATGTCAAGCAGCCCCTATTCACCAACTCTGTAAAGAATGGTACTCTATGATTTACCCTACACTCCAGACTTAGAGAAAAAATAAAAGTAAGAATCATCTGTCTCCTGAAATATCTTTAACATCCTTTAACTTGCAACCCACTGTTACTTTCCTGTAGACCAAAACATTTTAAAATTGTAAATCCCTTCTACCACATACATATGCTTGGTAAGTTCATGTCTGGTAACCACCCAATTTAAGTAGTTTGATGTCTTGAGAGTTTTCTTCTGGATGGATATATTTACCTATCGCCAAGTAAGGTGATTTGTTAGGCCATGACCCTTAGTCCCCCCTCCAGGAACTCAATGTACCTATTTTGAACAAATTTGTACTTCTAAAAAAAAAAAAAAAAAGCACATCACACCTCCTTTCCATTTTGTATAAGAAAAACCAACAGTCAGACCCTTTCATAAAGACTCTTTTAATGGAGCACTGGGATAATGACCTGGACAAGACATTGACCCATGTTAAATGGAAGTGGATTTTGGTCTAGGTACAGTCAGGTACCTCCAGTAACAGATATATACGGAATCTAGTTGCAAACTTATTTCCCAGTAGAATCTCATTCAGGTGAAGTTAAATATACAATTACTTCAACACCTGGTGCATGTTGGAGATGCAGCCAACATCGTGGAACACTACTTCACATTTTATGGAATTGTCCATTTGTGCAACTCTACTTCGATGCAGTATCCCAGAAAATCAGTTAAATTACCAAATGGCCTTTTACAGATTCCCCTGCTGCAGTCCTCTGAGGACATCGTAACCTCGCATATACTATATGTACCTATTTGTATCTCTCTCCTCTTTCGATATGCAGCAGTGTTAGTTTTTTATTTCATTTTGTGTTACTGCGTAAGTTATGTTTTTATTTTTCATTGAGAAGTTTTGTTTCTTGTGTACTATCAGGAATTAATGTGGTATATGGTTAATTGTACATTACAATGTATAATACACTGATCATGTACATGCTATATATAGTGATCAGCCACAACATTAAAACCACCTGCCTAATATCATGTAAGTCTGATACATTGAGGCATGGACTCCACAAGACTCCTAAACGTGCCCTGTAGCATCTGGCACCAAGAAACAGTTTTGAACTCTTTGTCATATTCAACTAACCATTCCTGAACAAGTTTGCATTGCGGCAGGGTGCATTATCCTTCTGAAAGAGACCACTGCTATCAGGGAACACCTTTGCCATGAAGGGGTGTACATAAACTGCAACAACCTCTAGGAAGGTGGTACGTGTAACATCCACAGGAATGCCAGGACCCAAGGTTTCCCAGCAAAATATTGCCCAGAACATAACACTGCCTCTGCCGGGCTGCCCTCTTCCCATAGTGCACTGCTGCTATCTCCTCCCTGAGTAAATGATGCACACGCACCCAACCATCCACCTGATCTAAAAGAAAATGTGATTCATTAGACCAGGTCCTTTCCTTTTCCATTGCTCCATGGTCCAGTTATGATGATTCCTGCCATGTACAGAGGTCATCATTGGCACTCTAACCAGTCTATAACTATGCAGCCCAATGCACAGCAAACTGTGGTGCATTGTGTGTTTAGATACCTTTCTACCATGGCCAGCATCAAGCTTTTTTGACCTGACAGGCTGGCCTATGTTCCGGACATGCATCAATTAGCTTTGGGCACCCATGACCATGATGCTGGTAGACTTTACTTGTACCACTTTTGGACTACTGCATACCAGGAACACCCCACAAGATGCTCTGGAGATTCCCTGACCCAGTTGTCAAGCCATTACTTTTGAGCCCTTGTCACAGTCACTCACATCTGTTTTCTTGCCCATTTTGTTTTCTGCTTCCAACACATGAAATTCAAGCACTGACTGTTCACATGCTGCCTAACATACACCACCTCTGACAGGTGCCATTGTAATGATATATTCAATGTTAATCACTTCACCTATCAGTGATTTTAATGTTGTGGCTGATCAGTGTAATGGAGGTTTGGTTGTTGTCTAATCTGTAGACAGTTCTCTATCTTGCGGCAGGAGATTGTATTCTTGAAGTCTGAGACTTGTAAATTATCTGGTAAACAAACTCAGACTGGAACTGCTGCAAAGCCACTGCTGCAGAGACATACTAGGAATGGCAGATGGATTACTGTAGGATCTGGTAGACTTAGAGTTGTGGATAAAAGGCATATTGCACAGTCTGTTGCTCTACATAATTCATTTTCTGCACTTTCAGAGTGTTATGGTGTTGTGGAGAGAGGCACTGAGGCTAGTGGTGTTGTGGAGACAGGCTTGGAGACTATGGTGAAGCCTAATAGAAAGCAGTTGTTGTTGGGGGATTCCATCATAAGAGGTGTGGAGATGGACAAAGGTGGTCTTGTGAGGTGTCTTCCCGGAGCTACTGCTCACAGAGACAGGAGAGGTATCTGTAATATTGTTAAGGGAGCAAAGCAGGAAGGGGAATTTGATGTACTTGTACATCTAGGGAGAAATTACTTGGCTTGCAATGAGGTTTCAGAGGTTAAGGAAGTTTTTAGTGTTTTTGCCAATGATATACGGCAGGTTGCTTCCACACTGTCACGGGTGGCGGTCCGGAGCCCGGGACCCAGACACTGTCCGGGCTGCGGTGCATGGACCTGGACCCATGTATGCCTGATGTTCAGAGTAGAAGTCACAGTGTGGAGGTGGATTAGCAGGGTCTGGTGCAGGGTAACCTCAAGCCCCCTGGTGTTGAGCACCAGTGTTTGTGCAGCCACATACCAGACCCCTGATTCAGCTTATGCGGATCCCAGGAACTAGGAGCAGGTAATTAAGCAGACCTCCCAGGAGCTGAATAGGGAGGCTCTGCAGCAGGGATGTATCCAGTACTGAAGCACGGCAAGACTAGAGATAGGCACCATACATGAAAACAAGACAAAACTAGGAGAACACAGAACAGGACAGAAAGCAGAACATGTACACAAGACATGAGGAAAACCAGAACATAACATGGGCATGACTGGACAGGACTGTACACGGACTGGGATTACAAGACTAAATAAAACAAGACAAGAGATACAAGGTAAAACAAGAGGAGACATAACTAAGCACTATATATGAAAAGTATGGGGATTTAGTTACATTATATGATCAGACATTGCACAAGCCTGCCAACAATGCCAATATACCCCATATCTGGCAGGTCCTACACTGCTTAATGCAAGCTAAACCACCCAAAGAAAACACACATAGTACTTACCTGCAAGAAAGGGCAGAGACTTGAAACACTGCTGCAGGTCCAGGATGAAACAAAAGGAAAGTGGAAAACAAACGGGTGTGGCAACATAAATCAAACATTTAAGTGAATCCAAGAGACTGGGAAATCCAGGGACGGAATATAAGAATGAACCCAGAAACCCAGCAACAAAGAAAACCAGACATAGACCACAAAACCAGAAAAACCAAGAAAGGAAAGCAAAAAGAGTACTGGATACCAGAAGCCATTGCCAGAATGATCCGCAGCGAGGAACAGGATGTGACACACACTGTCATTCTCTGAAGTTCTGCCTGTGCATAACACTCAGAACGACAGGCAGATGCGTATTAGGCACTTTAATTTGTGGCTTGGTGAATGGTGTTGGGAACAAGGATTTGGCTTTATTTCTCATGGTAGCTCTGTTTGGAATGGAAATAACCTGTACAAAAAAGATGGTTTGCATCTTTCTCAAAAGGGAACAAATGTTCTCAGTGAGAAGTTCAGAGGTTTTGCTAGGATGTATTTAAACAAGGGTGGTAAAACATCAATCTAATTGTCCCCCAAAACAAGAACAGAAGGTGTCTGTAGCAAGTATGTTAAAACATTATAAGCTTAGAGTCATGTCTACAAATGCTCGCAGTTTAGGTAATAAGATCCATGAACTTGTGGCAATAATGGCAACTGATAGTGTAGATTTAGTCGCTGTTACTGA